AGGTTTCCCCACAAGCAGATGGAGATCCCAAAGCCTTTCTTGGTGGATATCTGTCTAAATCAGCCACTACCATCAGGGCCCTGTCCCCCAGGTTCACTTCCTCAGTCTTGCAGAGACTCCCAGAAAGGAGCACCAACAGTGACATGTCATCATCACTGAGATCTCAGAGCTTCAGAGTATGGGAAAAAGTTCCTTTTAAACAACGGTCCTCATGTTGGATTGGCAGTATAGGTATGCGGAGCATTGTTTGTGCTGCTTCTCTCATCTGTTGAGGCCACCTTTTTGGTTCAGCATCAGTGCACAAATGACTGCCATAGCAGGTATGGCCTGGTAGTCCTAGAATCTCTCCTGAGGATCTCTTGCTTCTCCACTGCTGCTGGTCCTGGGATGCCTACGAGAACCTTCTCAGCCTTTCTGGCAGAAATGCAAGCCTAGAAGAATGAGGAAGTTTCCATCCCCTGCAGCAACTTTTGACCAATAGGGTATGGGAGCCAGTAGATAAATACCGCCTCCTTCCCTGTCTCAGGTGGAAATTCTGAGGTTCATTCCACATTTCCCTGGAGTCCCCAGTGGGACTGAGTATCTGTTACCCACCGTGGTAACCAGCTCAATAACTCACTCTTGGATTTTCTTTCTTTCTTTCCCTTTGTTACTCTTTCCTGTCACTATTCTACTTTTGTTCCCGGGGACACCTTTCCAAAATAACCATTGATGCCACAGTCCTTATTTCAGTCGGCATTTTCAGTTGACAAAGCTAAGACAAGGTACAAGGCAAGCTCTCCATTCACAGTACAACTGCAGAGGAGACATAAGTAGCACAAGGGTGGCACAGCTCCTCACCAGAACCTAATGCTTGTCACATGGCTTTAAAACATGAGGACATGAAATGATAGTAAATGATAGAAGATACACTATAGCTAACTGCTGTGCTCTATGATACAGACTCTAAGTAACGTAAGAATGCAGAGGATAGAATGAAGTCTGGAGCAGAAAGAGAAGGCCAAGTACTGAGTACTAACATTGAAGAACCAGAGACTTGGCTCCCTAGAGCTGACAGCTAGAAACTGAGATGAGGTGGGACCAAGTGCACTGAGATGAAGAAGAGTCTTGATAGCCAAGAAGATGAGAGAAGATTTACATGATGATCCATAAAGGCTTTAAGGAGAAGCCTGAATTGAGATCATTTTTACACGTAACCATACCAAACTTTCTACATTACACCTGACAACCAAATTCTCAAGCTTACAACTGTAACTGGCTCTTTGTTTTTCTTCCTCTCTTCTATATTTTTCTTTTCAGCAAGTATGTATTCCCCCCAAAAAAAAAACCATTACCATTGAGTTGTTTCTGGCTCATAGCAACCCTACAGGACAGAGGATAACTGCCCCATAGGGTCTCTAAGGCTGTAAATCTTTACAGAAGCATACTGCTACATCTTTCTCCCATGTAGTGGCTGGTGGGTTCAAACTGGCAACCTTTTATTAACAGCCCAGTGCTAACCACTGCACCACCAGAGCTCCTTGCGAGTATGTATAGTGATTACTAATTGGCCAAGCATACTTCCCATATGAACTCATGTACTCCACAAAACTCTAAAAGGTTGCTTTTGTTATTGTCCCCATTTTAGAAATAAAGAAACTGGGGCACATAGAAGTTTCATGGCTTGTGACAGAGCTAGGATTCAAGTCCTGCCAGTCTGGCTCTCTCTTTCACCTTTATCATCATAAACAATGAAGTCATCACGTTCTGTATGAACCAGCATGGAGAGGTGAAACCTATAAGTCCAGTTTTGAAGATAGATAGAAAAACAAATTCTCACTTATCCCAGAATAACTGTTACTGAGCATCTGCTATGTACTAAACTCTAGAAGGTGGAAAGAGAGGCAGGATTCTGAAATGAGTTATCACCCTGTCCTGCTCAATATTTACATCCCACAAAGGTGAATTGCAAAGATGTTCACTGGGTTCCTTAAGCACGGTGTTTGTGGTTGTTGTTGGCTGAAGCTGAGTTGGCTCATAGTGACTTTATAACAGAGCAAATGGGTGCCTGCTCCTGTGCTATCTCCATAATCTTTGATATGTCTGAACCCATTGTTGAGACTACTGTGCCAATATATCTATCTCATTGAGGCTTTTCCATGATTCTCTATTTTACCAACGATGATCATTCTTTCCTGATGTCGGGTAAATTAATAAAAATTTGTTGATTCAGTCTTCTTCCAAGTGCACTTTCAATCACATTACTTACCCTAGCTTTCTATAACTGACTGTAGTCAAAAAATCAAAATCCTTTTCCAGGTATTCAAGGCCCTCATCATCTACTCTCCACTTGGTTCTGACCTTACTTCTTACTACATGCCAAATCTGTCCTTTTTCTTGCAAATACATTACAGGCAAATAATAAAATATTTACACTTTATGTGTTTGCATATGTAATTTTTCCTGCCTGGCATACAGGTCTCCTTTATTTCTATCCATCTTTACTTATGACCTTTTTAAATGTATCCAATGCAAGGAAGATTTTTTTTTCACCCATCTGATTTTAGCCTTTTCTCTACCACAGTCTCAGAGTACCTGCAGATTAAAGATTTTGCTCTGTATAGTTCTTATAGCCAAGCATGTATGAGTTGGCATACAGTAGGAGCTCAATAAACCCTTACCAGATTCATGATGCAGTCAGTGTAAATAAACCATAAGGAAAGATCTAGCATTATATGCACTGTGCTTTAACACAACTTGTTATAAAACTTTCCTTCTCGTCTTCCCCTGAAACATATTTAATGATTTACACTGATTTACTGACCTTATAAATAAGCCCAGTTTCCCCAAAGGAACTGTTGTTGTTTTGCTGTTACGTGCCGTTGAGTCGGACCCAACTCATAGCGATCCCTGCTTAGATTTCCAAGGCAGTATCACTACAGAAGTAGATTGCCCCATCTTCCTTCCGAGGAGTGGCTGGTGGGTTTGAACCGCCAGCCTTCTGGTTAGCAGTCAAGTGCCTTAGGCACTATGCTACCAGACCTCCCCCAAAAGGAACTACTGTGATATAAATGAAATCAACAATTTACTCTGAACAAGAATGCTTCTAGAACAGTGTTTGGCACACAGAATACTCCCATTAACTATTTGTGGGACTGAATTAAAATAACCAGTTTTTTTTTTTTTCAAACCTGCCATCCACCCTATAATCTGGCAAAGAGTTTCAATAATAAAGTTTGTAAGCACAACTCAATGAGCAACCCTAGATAAACATGATGAAAAATGTTTTACAAATTTTACATCTCGTGCTATCCTAAGAGACTTGGGCCACCTTTTTCCTCTTCTTCCTGGAGTTCACAATCTGTCAGCCCTCTCCACTCTTAGTAAGCAATTAGTGGTAACCAAGGCTGGACACAAAATCTGAAAACTGCACTTACAAATACTTTGTGATTAACAGGATTTAATGGCACTGCTGGCAATAGCTTTAAGTGGCATCATCACTGTATGTTAAGTGTTAAATACAACCTTTTCACTCCGCTCTACATGAATCTTTTCAAAAGAAAAAAAAAAGTCAATAAATAGCTGAGATTTTTATCTCCAAAATTATGTGGGACTGGCAAAAAAGAAAAACTAAATATCACAGAGAGGACATAAATCTATACTAAAAACAAGTCATTTTGAAAACAACCAAAACCAGCCTACAAGGTAAGAAAGGATTCTCAGGAAAATTTGAAGGCGCTCTGGTGGCTTAGTAGTAACACATTCAGGAGCTCACCAAAAGGTGGATCATTCAAACCCAGCAGCTGCTCAGTGGGAGAAAGATGTGGAAGTCTGCTCCATAAAGATTCATAGCCCTGAAAACCGTCTGGGGCGGTTCTACTCTGCCCTACTCTGCCGAATGAGTCAGAATGGGTTGGTGGGTTAGGAAAACTTGCGGTTTATATGGGATTTTATTTCCCCCTGCAACACTACTCTACATAATATGAATAAAATGTGTTAGTCTATTGTGCAAATCTGCCTCAGTCCCTGCAATCAATGCACCTTCCCAAGCACTGAGATCTACTTGGTGACACATGAGATCTAAAGTGTGTGGATAAAAATAACCAGGTCCTCAAAAAGATGTGATTAACGCCAGACAGCTGAGTCACTTTGAAGCCCATTTTGACTCCCGAAAGAACACTCACCCTCCATCTCCTTCTCACACATACACAGAACCAACTGAAAACCACCAACAAGCGCCCTGGGTGGAAGGCAGTGATGGGTCTTAACTTCCTCCTTTAGTCTCTGGGGTCACGACTTGGAACTGAACTTTTAATGATTTACACTAGTGTATGCCAGTTCAAGTGACTCATTTTGAAGAATGGCTTAACAAAATCTTAATCCAGTAGACCCCTTATTTCTGCTGCCCAAGTGGAGGCACCCGAAGATTTCTTTTGACATTTCTGATGGGAAGGAAAAGCGTAGGGGAAAGCGGGAAGTGGAGGAAGAAAAGCTCACGGTGGAAATCAGGTTTGCTCAGGAGTGGGAATCCTTGGGCAAAGCAAACGGTCTCAGAAACAGGAAGGGCTGTAAATCTGGGGGGGAATCCATCGCCTCCACCCAGCCGCCCTCCGCTTTCTCCCCAAGGAAGACGCAAACGATCTCTAAAATGCAGTTCACCTCAAGGAACACTTAGATTTGATCTTTCAAACGGTAGCCGCATTGTTGGCGGGCTACTGGGAATTGAGGGCCTTTCAGCCGAGTGAGGCAGGCGGAGCGAATCACTCTCTCGCCCCAGTCCTGGGCAGCGCAGCCTCGGGCAATGCAGCGCCGAGCACCCAGTAGGCGCTCACTAACTGTTTGCCGAACTGCAGCGCCCCAGAGCCAACTCCGCCACCCGGAGGAGGAGATCCCTGCTGCCACTGCGCATCTTCACCCCCCCCGTTTCACGTGCTGCCGAGTTCCGCGGCTCGCGGGCGCCACAGGCCGCTAGCACCGCGACCCTCCCCCAGGCGCCGCTAGCGCGGCCGCGCCACACTTACGGGGGAGTCGTAGGAGAAGGCGCACTCGTTCTTGTAGACCCTGTCTCCGGACCTGGGCACTCGGATCGTGGGCATATGGGGCACCAGCAGCTCGCCGATGTCTCCTGCAGCCATCTTCCTGCTGCTGCTGCCTCCTGGCATACCGAAAAGGGCGCCCCGGCGCTGCATGGCCGCGGCGCGCACTCGAACGGAGCCGAGCCGAGCAGAGCTGGAGCCTGCGCAGGGTCGGCCAGTGGCGGTGGCGGGCGAGCGGCTGGGCCCAGAGGACGCGCTGCGCGGCTACAAGAGCCGAGCCGGGGCGGGGAGAAAGGGCCGCGGGGCGGGAGCGGGCAATGGGGGCCTGGGGAGGGCGGGGGGGGGGAACGTTGCTATTTTTAATCCAATGGCGAATCGCCGGCACAGCTGCAGCGTCAGGCGGGGCGCTGGGGAGCGCCAGCCGCAGCGCGCCGGGGAGGGGGCGCGAGAGAGGGGCCCTGAGCCCGGGCCGGCTAGGCGGCGAGGGGTGGGGGGGGGCAAGTCCCGGGGGCCTCCGCGCGCGATCCAAGAGCTCACGGGGCCGAAAACACTCGGGGAGGAGGGATTCGCGAGGGGCGCCCCTCACCCCTGCGGGTGGACTGCCGAGCGGCATGACCATGATGTTTTCGATCATAAATTGTTAGGTTGAAAAGGGGCAACTCTGAGGCAGCAGACACAAAGAGGTTTTAAAAAACGGTTCTTTTAAGAGTGGTGTCTTCATTGGATTGGGTAGGAGTGGCACTCGATGTGCAAATCTAGAATCTAACATCGGACCCAAATCTAAATTTGCCTTTTGCACTTTGATGTTCCGCCACTAAGCCTTTCTCCTCACTTTCTTAATATCCAGAGCTCAGAGAATAGGGTAAAGTCCGCTGAGGATAGAGGTATATTCTGCAATAATAAAGATTTTTGGTACATATTTAGAGGAGGCGGGTCTGGATAATTTTGTGACCGGGAAAACCTTAATTTATCTATGGGACATCTTCTGACTGTTTCAAGGTGTCGGTATAGAATAGTCAGTGGCTTGATTGGAGGCCAATATGTGCAGACATAACATACTCCTGTCTTGCTCTTGCAGTTCCTTAACATAAATAATGAATGGGTTGGGCTGGGGGATGATGCTGAACAGAGTATGTACCTCACAGCATGCTCTTATTTTCGCCAAAATACTCTTAAAAAACGAGTTCAATTCCATTGAGTTTCCTAAACGACACCCATTACAGGGCAGAGCACCCAATGATCCATGCCGTTTAATGAAACTCAAAAATAGCAAGAAATAAAGTAAACCAAAAAAGTGGTTACTGTAAGCTACGACTAGAGAAAATAGTCCTTAAATTACTTTTTTGTTACATTTTTTTTCTCTTTACCCTCGCTGACTCTCCAGACTTGCCCTTTCTGTTAGGGAGAAAACAGCGGTACTTGGAATTTAATGTTAAGTAAATAGGCAAGCCCTCTCTTGCCTGTTCTACATTTCTGTAATGCTACCTGGTGGAAAGGGAAAAGGAAAGAGGCTCAGAACAAAAACTGAAATGCGAATACTATTGCTATCCCCTTCATTGGACAGATGCATTCAACCAGCTTTTGTTTTTAATTTATTCTCACCACCCTATCACTTTCTGGTATCAGTGCCTGGTTCAGCTTCACAGATGAAGCTTACTTATGCAACTATAAAGGAATATTTGGTTCAAAATATTTAAAGTTTAAAGTACTCTGAGACTGGATACAAATTAAATCCAAGACTCTATTTTTAGCCCTTCAGGCTGATAAAGATATACTGATTTGGCCAGGGTTTGGGATATAGGCTCTGGTGTTCATTGTTGGTGGAAATTAAAATGGTAAATCTCTTCGGAAGAAGTGTAACAATATCAATCATAATTTTGTATGCATAAACTTTTCCCCAGCAATTCTTTGTTGACACATTTATTCCACAGATAAATTCATATAATATAAGGATAACTGTTGAAGCATTGTTTATAAAAAAAGACTGGGAACAACCTCAAGGTCAATCTGTAGGAAATGGATAAAATAATACCATTGAAAGGAATGAAGTTACTCTATATGTACTGATGTTTAATAATCTCCAAATCATATATTAGGTGAAATCAGAAAGGTGCAAATCAGTGTAAAATCAAGGAATAAATGCGAGTCTGATGATATGCTATAGATATTCTGGCATATTTTTTATATCATGGGCTTCCCTTCCAGTTTATCTTCAAACCAAAAAACTCACTGCCATCAAGTTGATTCTAACTCATAGCAACTCTTTAGGACAGAGTAGAACTGCCTTATAGGGTCTCCAAGGCTGTAATCTTTATGGAAGCAGACTTTCTCGTCTTTCTGCTGCAGTGTCTAGTAGGTTCGAACTGCTGACCCTTTGGTCAAATACTTTAACCACAACACCACCAGAGTTCCTTTCATATAGTGATACATGTCGAAAATTTTATGTGTACAGTCTATTGAAGTAATTAAGCAACAATGCTTCTTACAGCCCAAAGTTCTTAGTCTCAGGTCCCAGTCACAGAGGGCCCCACCCAGAGCCTATCAGAGGCCTAAGGGACTATCAAACCTGAATCCCACCTCTGTACACCAGAATGTCAATGGCACACCAATGGGAAAGATCTAATTAAAACAGAAAAATAGAAACCATTCAAACATGGAAGAATGATTAAATTGGGGACATCTATGAAAATATATCCAACTGTTTCACTGCTATTCATAAGGTTTTCACTGGCCAGTTCTTTAAGAAGTGGATGGTTCCTTCTTCCAGGAGGCGTCAGAAGATGGAAGAAAAACACAGAATCACTGTACAAAAAAAAAGAATTGATCGATGTTCATCTGTTTCAGGAACTGGCATATGATCAAGCACCAGTGGTATTGAAGGAAAAAGTCTAAGCTGCACTGAAGGAATTAATGAAAAACAAGTCTCCAGGAATTGATGGAATACCCATTGAGATGTTTCAACAAACAGATGCCACACTGGAGGCACTTACTGGTCTATGCCTAGAAATTTGGAAGACAACTACCTGGAAGACATCCATATTTGTACCCATTCCAAAGAGAAGTGATCCAACAGAATATGGAAATTATCGAACAATATTAATATCACACACAAGTAAAATTTTGCCTAACTTAAAAACAGTTGCAGCAATATATTGATAGGGAACTCCCAGAAATGCAAGCTACATTCAGAAAAGGATGTGGAACGAGGGATATCATTGCTGATGTTAGATGGATCTTGGCTGAAAGCAAAGAATACCAAAATGATATTTACTTGTGTTTTATTGACTATGCAAAAGCATTTGAGTGTGTGGCTTATAACAAATTATGGATAACATTGAGAAGAATGGCAATTCCAGAACACTACATTCTACTCACGAGGAACCTACACATAGACCAAGAGGCAGTCGTTCAAATAGAACAAGGGGATACTGCATGGTTTCAAATCAGGAAGGGTGTGTGCTAGGGTATAGTTTGAAGTATGGATCACATCTCAAAGAAAACAAAAGTCCTCACAATTGGATCAATAAGCAACATCATGATAAATGGAGAATAGATTGATGTTTGTAGGGATTTCATTTTATTTGGATCCACAATCAGTGGATGTCCTCTAGGTTCATCCATGTCATGAGATGTTTGTAAGACATGTAAAATTTAAATAAATATGTTTGGGATTTGGTTATGCAGTTGATTTTTTTTTCCTGTTTTCAGATGTCTGCAAAGACATTACAGGTGTTTTATAATATAAAAATTTATCCAGACAGAAAAAGTTACTAAAAGAAATTTCACAGAAGTAAGACAATGTCTTCGTTATGTTTGAGGAACTTTTTCACTTAATTTTACAAATTCTGCCAATGAATTTATAACTATACTATTTTGTTATTGAGACACTTTCTGCATATGGATCTTGATCAATGAGCAGGAGTGAAGAACTGATGATCACTAAACAATTTTAACTTCCAAAATAAATTCAATGAGTCTTAACACAGAGATCTGAGTGAACCTAAGACTAAAGACAGATTTTTACTACATCAAGATGTTCGTGCTGCCAAGTTTCTCTCTTGCTCAAAAGCCCCATCCCATGATGCTCTCAGGGTGGAGCCCAGACTCTGATGGCCTGGCATTCAAGGGCTTCTCCAGTCTAGCATTCATTTGTTTTCAGACCCCCCGCTGCTACTCTTCTGGTAACCTATTACTATCCTGAAAGAATAAATGTACTTGTCTCCAAGTCTTAGTTGAAAACTCTCCTCTCTCATATCCATCTTTTCGATCCTTTCAACAGTTCCTGTTTCTCCCACAAAGCCTTTATTGACTGCTCCAACCCTCAGTGACCCATCTTAAAAAATTACAGTTCCTATTGCCTATTTAGGAGCTCTGGTAGCATAGTGCCTAAGGCACTTGACTGCTAACCAGAAGGCTGGTGGTTCAAATTCACCAGCCACTCCTTAGAAGGAAGATCGGGCAATCTACTTCCGTAGTGATACTGCCTCAGCAACCCAGGAGGGGTCGGGTCCGACTTGACGGCACATAACAACAACAATTGCCTATTTAATTTGTTTCCATGTCTTTTCCTTTATCTAGAAGACAAAAGTTCTTAGTATCATTCATGACACCTTGTATGTTGTGGAAGCTCCGTGTTTATGGAATATTTATTGCCTGCTTAGAATGGTATTGCACCGTTTATTTTAGACCCTCAATAAGTCCCTACAAAATGAATGACTCACATCAGTAACATTGTAATAGATATGTTTTTCAGTCTGATTTGTGTCTTTTAGGGAAACTGCATTGCTGGACAAATGTTATTCCCAGAACTGACAGAGGTTAGACTGAAATAGAGCATGAATATTGGTTATTTTGACTAATGCCCAAAAGGGGAATTGAGGAAATTTATACAGAAAAAAAAAAAATATATATATCTTAATTATTTCAATTAATGAAATAACTCTTGACCTCAGACTTTTTCCAGTAATGTGCAGTGATGTGGTAAAGTCATATATAGCTGTGGGGTTTACATTAGCTTTACCCAAAGAATTCAGTCTTTGTCCTTAGTTCCTGAGAGATAACCTCTAAAACCTTGAGATTTCCCTAGTGATTGAAGGAACTTTGCTGAAGCCTCCAGATCACACCTGAGGGTTTATGCTAATGAGGTGACTCAGGTGGAGGCTGGCCAGACCAGAAAGATCCACCTCTTGATATCAACCAACCTCAGGGGAGAAGGGCTGGAGT